TACACAGAGCGTCAGCTGCCTGAAGGAGTGTTTTTTCCAGTCGGTCGCGGTTTCGTCCGGCTACAGCCCATTGAAACGTCCCTCCTGGACCCTCGTTACACGTCCGCGTAACCTCCTCCACTACAAACTGGCCGGTAAAACCGCTCGCTCCGAACACTATAATATGGTACGGTCTTTTGCTTGACGTTGTGAGCGTCGCCATTGTGAGTGATCCGCGTGCGAGGCAAACACAGACTAGGTCAGAGCGACCGCTGCTGCTCCTCTCTCTCTGCTGTCACTGTACAGTGTCCGTGCAAAATACAGGCGTTTAGTCAATCAGATTGTGTTTCTGATAAGTGTAGCTCAACCATAAATCCAACTGTTTGTGGGTGAAGATTCCAGAAACTGTCACACATTGAAGTAGAGAGACATCTCGTGCTGGAAAGGTGATATTACCACAACAGTTACACAGAGGAGGGTACAAGTACATTTTGTGACCATTAACATATTATATATGAAAGCAAACATATGTATATACCTAGCAATAAATTACATTTGAATGTCAGTTGATACATTGTAAGATCACAGCTTGTTAGTGACTGAATTAACACTGTTTTGAAGGCATCGGTCAAATTTAAAAGTCAGACCACTTATAACCATTCTTCTATTTATCATTTTTCTACAGTTTAACACAATTTTCTATTTATGAATACATTTTTATTACAAATTATTAATATGTCTGCATATACATTTGGTGTTAATGTTTCAGACCTTTGGCCCCCACTGTATGTTACGATTCACATATTTAAAAATGTAATTAAGCAATTTGAATGATTTCAATACATACTTTGCATTACAGTTGCATATCATATTGTTCATTTGGCAAGGCAATCATGATCATGACATTGCCTCTTGATCAGGCCTGTGTCACTAATGTTTTTTTGCTTTGTGCATCTTAAAACTTCAACTGTCCGAGAAGTTGTTATTGGATTCTGAAATGAAATTAGCTATGAGTCAGTCTGTGGGTTTCCAAAGAGAAATGCTCCTACTTCACCATAGGTTTTATTATATGTGCCAATTCCATTTCCTTTTCCTGCTGCGTCATCTTTTCTTCCATTCAGAGGACCAATCCAATATTATTATAGACAGAGCTACAGGATAAACCATAAACCACTTTCTAAATATAAAAAACACATTTCTAGTCATAATTCAGAGATCATGTATACTACTTGGGAAAGAAAAAAGAGCATACAACGAAACAGGTTTCTGGTTCTGAGCATATTCAAATATTTAAAATATTCCACAAAAACTCATTTTGACTGCTGAACACAAATCATATTTGTAATTAAAACAAACTGATTGATTGCTGTCTTTTATACTGTACAATACTACAATTATAACATCTTATATTTTGTACCTGCTGACTAAGTGTTGGAGCAACGATTAACTGACATCAAGTCAGAACAATCGATCATTGTTATTATTCAACCTGTTCATGTTCTATGTTAATAATAAAGCCATTTTGATAAGTTAATATCCCATAGTTAAAGCAATAATGCACCCAAAAATGAAAATTTACCAAAATGTAGATGAGTTTGTCTCTTCATCAGTATAGATTTGGAGAAATGTAGCATTACAGTGGATCCTCTACAGTAAAGGATCACCTCCAGTCCATTAATTAATGTCTTGTGAAGTGAAAAGCTGTGTGTTTGTAATAAACAAATTCGTCATCAAGACGTTTTTAACTTCAAACAGTTGCTGCCGGTTAAAATTTGAGTCATTTATCCATAATATTGCTTTCTTGGTTAATATTTGTTGTTTAAAATTAAAACTCCTGACTGATGGATTTGTTTCTTATAAACATAGCTTTTCATTTATCAAGATGGATTGATCTTAATTTCTTGTGGATTATTGTGATGTTTTTATCAGCTGTTTGGACTCTCGTTCTGACGGCACCCATTCACTTCAGATGTTACATTAGTGTGCAAAAGATATAATGCTACATTTCTCCAAATCTGTTCTGATGAAGAAACAAACTCTACATCTCGAGTGGTCTTAAGCTAAGTAAATTATGAGCCAATTTTCATTTTTGAGTGAACTATTCCTTCAATATACATCCATTTATGCTTATTTTTGTTCATACTGTATGAATTTCAGTGATTATAGCACCAATGAAAAGTGCCAAGTCAAAATAAAAGCATAAATACAAAGATAAGCATGGAATAAAGTGTCTTGGAGTACTAAAATGTACAAAAAACAAAATTACTGGCTCCAAAAGCAGTTATTTCAATGTTACAGTTACTGATTCGAAGAATGGCAGTGGTATATTAAAACTATCTGTAATAAGTGGTATATTAGGATTATCTGTAATATTCAGGTTTTTGTACCAATATTAAATATTTTATACAAATTAATTTATGCATTAGGAAGCCCTGTGTGACTCACTAAAGCAACATTTATTAAGGCCCGTCTGGTAATGTACATTAGTGCATATTATCTCAAGAGGAATACTGTTGTTAATCATTGGAAATGATAATATGAAGAAATAGTTCCACTGCATAAAATAGCTGCTATGATGCATCAGAAGAGAGCCACTGTGCGAGAGCGTCCATTCCTCGTCGTACAGGTCCAAAGTAAAAGTCCACGTTTTGCGAGAAGTCAGCACACACGTTTGAGTACGCCCCTCCAACGAGACAATAAAGAGCAGTCCCACACATGCTAATCACCACGGTAACCAGACACAAGATGAGAAGGATGAGGCAAGAGTTTCTGGCCGACTCATCTGTATGCATGAGAAAGATGAGCTTTGATCAGTCTCATATTAATGCAGAACAGAAATGTGAATACTTAAAGGCCCTGCGTGAATATTTGTTTACAATCATACCTTGATCGGAAGTATCATCTGGCTCTCTAAAGCGGACTCTGCATATGGTTGAGTCTTTTAGTGGCAAGCCATTCTCGTAGACTCTCTTCTTTAAAATGGAGACTAAGCCATTTGAGGAAAATCTCTACAGAAATATCAGAAATAAAGTATGAAATTAATCAAATTTGATGCATAAATTATTTTTAAGAAGCATGTACATGGCAAATTATGTAATAACAATCAATAACCAATAGGGGTCAGCATGTGCAATATCATAATGAACTGAACTACATTATTGGGATCAGACTTTAAAGGGATACTTGGGAAAACGTAGTACACTTTTAAAAAGAGTACTTCTTATGGAAATTATCCTAAAGAATATACTTAAGTGCGAACTAAATGGTATATTTCTAGACACATGAGTGCATGTTATTTACAATTAAATGAAAATGTACTACTTAAAATTTATATTAAATGTATTTGAATTTAACAGTGCTTTTTTAACCCACTTAAGTGGTACTTAAGTACATCGTTATATGTAATTTCATAATTATTTCTACAATTACAACAAGTGTACTTACATAAAGCATGCCAAAAAAGTATTAAAACTTTACTAAGTGCACCTTTTAAAGGTGTACTTAAGTGTGTTAAGAAAGTGTTTATTTCATTTTTTTTTTTAAATATACTTTTAAGATTTGAAGCACACTACAAGTGCAAATTCAATTCATTTCGGCACACTTCTTTTTCACAAGGGATAGTTCACCTAAAATAAATATTCCGTTATCATTTGCTTATTCAAAATCTACTTGTATTATCTACTTTCTTCTGTAGAACACAAAATAAAATATTTTGTCAAATGTATCCGTGTGTTTTTTTTCATCCTCACAGAGGTGTTTTGTTTTGGACCCAGCTGACTTTCATTGTATTGACAAAAATAGCTGAAAGGTTTTTTTTTTTTTATATTTTCTTTTGTGTTCCACAGAAGAAAGTCAGTCATACAGATTTGGAATGCTTTTCTTTAAAGTCATTCATTATGTTTGTTTTTCTAATATGCCTCATAGTATATCATGATGTGAAAATTAGTTTTGTTGTTGTTGTTGTTGTGGTGTGTCAAATCAGTCCAAGTCAAATTAGAGGCCAAAACAAAATAGCTTCAAATCTGTATAAAATAATTGAGTTTAACAAACAAACAAATAATGTAATCATCATTCAGTTGTTGTGTTTGTTGATTGAAAAAGTCAGTAACTTTGACACAGTTCTGGAGAAGGTTTATGCAGTTGGGAGTGCTATTTAAGACAACCACACCCAATAGCTTTGAGAAACCATACACTCCCTGAACGCTTCTTTATAAAATTCCTGCAGCTGGCTGCCATAACGCTGAGGATGACATCACACTATTTTGCCTTCATGAAACCCTGTGGCTAAGAAATGTGGCCTGAGAATTGGAAGAAAGTCCCATTAGACATTTTACAAAGTCATAAAAATTCAATTTGAGGACCAAGATTAATACATTGCATATTTAGGCCCTGAGGAATACAAATCGTTCAGTAAGCGGATGGTTTGGAAAGACTGCAGCAGACGGATGGTGTCTCAGCATGCTTATTTTTTCTAAGGGCAGATGGTAATATGTAAGAGATTAAAATTACTCCTACAGCGTCTTAACTGTTCTACCTGAATATGGTTGGCCAGCTCATCCACAGGAACCTGGCCATCAACGACTGTGTCATCCTGCAGCTCCTCATTCCAGCACTCATCCTCCTCAAGACCTTCCTCGTCCTCTTCCTCCTCCACATTCAATTCACAGTCCTCTTCTGGCTCCTGTTCAGCTCCCAGCCATGAGCAGTCATCTGCCCGGGTTTCTCTCTCGGTTGAGTTCACTGAAGCTTGTTCTGATTTTGATCTTCTGTGTTCTGACACAAGGGTTGGGCTGTTGTGAAGTCTTATGTCGTCCATGTTCTGCAATAACAGACTGCTTTAATCTGACTCACAGAAACATAAACTGCACTGGTGGATAATAAAACAATTGTAATGTTTTACCTTTTCCAAAAAGAGGTTAGGTCTGAAAGAGGAGAAGTAGAATTTGTCAAATTCATTTCAGTATTATAACTCTGCTGTTGTTAAATAATATACATAATGATTTATTATTTGCTACATTTATAATCTGTATGTAATATTTATATAATATGTACATCTAAATATTTAATTGATATATTTTTTAAAGTCATGTTATAAAATGTAAAAAAAAAAAAAAAGATATATTATTTGAGATTCCCTTTCGTGGAACTTCGAACTGCGTCCTCTTTGTACTAGTTGCGACGGTAGTGACGTCGTGGCTGTCACCGGCCAAACAAGTTGGTGTTTTTTCAATGTAGGCTTCAGACACGGGTCACGACGAGGCGTTCCCCATAGCGACCCCTAGAGGACGCAGTGTCTCGTTACCCTCAGGGAACCATGGTTACACAAGTAACCTGAGACGTTATATATTAAATATATATATATATATATATATATATCTCAAATAATATATCTATTTTTACATTTTATAGAATTAAGTTTAATTTACATTAATACACCTTAGCTTCTCAAGGCTCTTTTACAAAGTAAAAACAATACATATTTACAGTTTTTTTGATCACATGAATTCAACCTTTGTGAGCATAAGAGACTACTTTCAAAAACATTTAAAAAAATTACTTTTAAACTAACTTAAAAACTTTTAAACTGTAAAATTCTATATAACTGGTATGTATATATACCATATATACAAGTGTGTGTGATTAGTAAAAAAATTTTTTTTTAATAATGTAAAAAATATTATTTGTAAATATTTTACGTATAAATATATACGCACCTTTAAACATAACTTTTTACAAAGTAAAATTTTTTTTTTTTTAAATAAATACAATAGGGAACAGGTCAAAACACTCTTAAACAAGTCAAAAAAGAATGAAGAAAGGTACAAATTCATGTAATTTTTGATGTTTTTCCCTATAAATCAGTTTAAGTTGATGGGGCTTGATGAGGCATGCTACTGCTTTGGATAAATATTTTAGGAAGGGAAAAATGCTGTAATTATTATTATTCTCTGCTTGCTTGGAGAGTCCTCGTCTACACAGTCTCACCTCTGGTGTGTACTGCAGATATGACTCAACAGTTCCATATGCTCTCTCTCTCTGTTAGTTCCATTAGAGTTTAAAGGAGAGTTACTTTCGGTTTGGACGATGATTTTCCTCTGAGACTCTGAAACCAAACATATGGATTTTGACTGTGTCTCATTTTCTGTCACACATATATAGTATGTACTCACAGAACATCTGAAAAGCAATATAAAAACATACATACTTAGACATAGTTCCTGATATTTCAAGAAAAAAAACCTTTGTACCAAAAAAGCTACAGCTATGTGACATTCTTCAGGTTTAGTTTTTCCACAGTCAGGTCTTGTTGGCAGTTAAATTAGATAAGAGGGGAGAGTCTGACCTCTGTACTTCAGTGATATTGGTGAAGTAACAGAGTCACATGTGGTCTGGGCAATGGAGTACAGTTGGGAAATGAGCAATTTCCTGAGATCAAACCATACCACTGCTGTTTATTTATGAAGGATGAAACTAGCAATTCAACTTACAACAGTATTGCCCTATTTACAACAGGAGTCTCATCCTTACAAGATAAAACAATGCTTTAGGAAATTCTCTCACATGCATACAATGTGACCTCCCCTGGTTCAAGTAAAAAAAACAACTCCAGTGAGCACATTTGAGTAGTTTGTCTTGTTAACAGATCTGATTTTAAATGTGCATGGTGTTTAGTCGATAAGTGTTTAAGCTTATTTACATGCAGGATGCCTGGAAACGCTGACAAAATATAGAAAAACAAGAATAGATTATTTTTGTACTACTTATATCATGTTTTGGCTTAATTTATTTAGGCAGTTTAAAACAGAAGCAAGTTTACATCTTGCAGTTCTGTTTTTTGTTCCTGCCATGGAATAAAATAAATAAATAAGGTATTTTGCCATTTTTTAAACTCACAATTTCTTCTTGCAATTGAGAGATTATCTAACAATTCTGACTTTTTTTCATAAAATTGCAAGTTAACATTATGTTGTACTGACTTTATATGTCACATTATGAGAAAAAAGTCAAAATTGTGAAATCTAAACTTAATCTAAAATAATTGCATGAGTTACCTATAAAAACTCCAAGTTACCTTCTTTATTGTTTTTTATTCCGTGGCTGAAACAGGGTTCCACAGAAAGAGCTTTGAAGAATAAGATTACTGCTTTTATTTCCTTAAAATATCCCAAACAAGAGTAATCTAGCTAACCTAGGGATTTTTGTAATTTATTAGTCCACACAGACATTTGTCAGGTTAACAGTATAGACTGCATCATCCTTCTTTTTTATTAACTATCCAGGTGTATCTGATGACGGATGCAGAGACAAAAATGCATATGCACACTTTTATTTAAAGACAACAAGATCTTTTTATGCCAGTTTTTCTTTTGGTTGTGGGCTTTATGTGAGAGTAACCTTTTTAAACTCCCAGTGCACACACCTGGTGTAAGGAATGAGGGAGGAGCATGTGATCATTGTGTTCAACGAAGGACTGCAGTGCAGCCAGAAGAGAAGGACTAGGCCCAGGTGGTTCAATCCCAGAGAGACTGCCTGTACAGAGATCACAGCAGGAGTGAATTCAGGAACACTACTTATAGCTTCAGTAAATCAGTCAATCCAGTGCTTCTTGAGCACATTTTTTAACAAGTTTATGGTTAATGATTTTATTAAATTACTTAATATCGCATGTGACTAGCCAGTACGTTTAAATGTAACCTTAAATAAACAGTCAGCCAAAATCACAATTCACAACAAACCTGAATGCTGAGATTTTTTTATGGAACACAAAATGATCATTTGAAAGAAATCTCAATCAGCTCTTTTCCATACACCAATAGCTCATAGTGCGTCCTCGCAAGCTCCATTAAAAACACCATAAAAGTGATCAATATAACTTGTGTGTTATTTAAAATATTTCTAAAGGAGTCTCTTATGCTCACCAAGGCTGTATTTATGAACAAAAATACAGTAAAAACAGTAATATTATTAAATATGATAATTTAAAATAACTTTTCTATTTTAATACATTTTAAAATGTGATTTATTAATGCTAAATTTTCAGCAGCCATTACTCCATTCTTCAGTCACTTTGTGCAACAACTTTGTAGTTTGTGCTGCTTCATTTTTGTGTGGAAGCAGTGATACATATTGTTTCAGGATTTGTTGAAGAATAAAAAGTTAAAAAGAGCAGCATTTATTTGAAATAAAAATCTTTTATAACAAGGTAAAAGCTTTTATTGCTACTTTTGATGAATTTAATGCACCCTTGCTGAGTAAAAAAGTATTAATAAAAAAAAATAGTAATAATCTTATTGATTACTTTTGCAAGTCATATGGACCACTTCTACATATATATACACAGTATACATTGTATATATATAGATATACCGTATATAGATATAGATATATATACACATGCATACATATATATATCTACCTTTTGTGTTCCAAGAAAAATTGAAGTACTTCCATTCCAATTTTAGGATGAACTACAACTTAAGTATAAATTTTATTCATCAAGAAAACAATATGGTTAATCACAGCACCAGAATACTGAAATATTACATGCTTACCATGATCTACAGAGCAGCTATGGCTCTTGATGTTTGCTGGAGACCTCTCTTCTGGGTTCCTGTTCTCGGAGTTGTCCAAGTCCATAACCTCTGCCTCCTGCAGTTTGTTCTGATTCTCATCAGAGGCTGTTAGGAAAGACGAAATGATGTCCTCTGCGGTCGGAGTTATTCTGCCCATTTCCTTCCATCTTACAGACTTCCTCATCTCGGACTCCTCCATAACTGCAAGGCGATCACAAAGAAGATAGACGGTCATGAAAATTAATCTATATCTTCATCAGAATTCAAGAGGAAACATTTTAAAGACTTGATGTCAGTTTTTCAAATTCTTTGCCCTGCAGTTCCTTATGCTGTTCATATTTGCCATCAGTGACAATGCAAAACATTTATCATAAAATGAATCTTTGAGTCCAAAAGAATTCAGAGAGAAAACACAAGTAGGACAGGTTTGGTGTTGTTGGACATTTTTTCAAGCAGATCTTAGGCCTTACTTGAGGAAAAACTAGTGAAGCTCTCAAACAGTGTGTCCTAACAGCGAACCAATGCTCACTTCAGTTACTCCTGAAGCCGGCAGCAAGCGTAAACTGACAGGTGTTATCAAAAACAAGAGCCAGTTATAGCAGCAATGCATAATTCATGGGATAGGGGCTCTTGTCTTTCACTCTATTCAGGCATTTCGAAGGATGAGCAGTGAAACCAGAGACAGAGAGATGGAAAAAGGGTGGAGTGTGGATGAGTGTCCTCATTGTAAATAAAGTGTCACTGCCAGTGTGGTAACAGAACAGGGTGTATGATGAGCTGGAAAAGGCTGAAAGAATAGTCGAGATGTTTCTTGACATGACATGACCACAACTGGCCTGATCGGTGTCAAGATGAACCCTTATGAAAGCTGAACAGTGTGAACATATAACAACAGGCTGAGCAAATAATAAGATATGCCGAGATTGACACTGTATCTAATGCAGCAGGAGGGCAACAGTTTTGTTTGCACAAATTGTGCTGAAATATATAGTTTAAGTATTGAACAAATTATTTATTTAATATACTGTGCATACACACTTCCATTCATGGGATGTTTTTGAAAGAAGTCTCCGATGCTCTCTGATTTATTTGATCAAAAATACTGTAAAAACAGTAATATTGTGAACTATTATTACAATTTAAAATAACCGTTTAAAATTTTAATACTTAAAAGTGTAATTTTTTCCTGTGATGGCAAAGCTGAATTCTCAGCAGGCATTACTCATGCCTTCAGTGTCACATGATCCTTCATAAAGCATTCTAATATGCAGATTTTAATCAGTGTTGAAAATATTATTTTTGTGGAAAATGTGATATATTCTTTAAGGATTTTTTTAAAATATCAAGTTCAGATGAACAGCATTTTCTTGAAAAAAATATAATTTTGTAACAATGTAGAAGTCTTTACTGTCACTTTAGATCAATTTAATTTAGTTGACAGCAATGTAACTTAATGAAGTTTACTTTTTACTAAAAAATGCTGGGGGGTTTTGTAATGGAAACATATTTTAGAATTGTTTATATTGTTCCAAGTACCTTGAGGTACCATGTAAAAATGGCATTTTCAAATGTCAATCATTTAATACCATTGTATATATTAAAAACTTTGTATTACAATAATTTTATACCATGGTACCACCACGATCCTATGGTTGTGATGCTATTACCTAACAGGCTAATATGTGTGTGTGTGTGTGTGTGTGTGTGTGTACCTGTTTTTCTATTCTGGTGGGGACTTAAACCTGAATACACACAGACTCATAGGGACTCGTGTCACGGTGGGGACCTAAATTGAGGTACAAAAGCTTATAAATCATACAGAATGAAGTTTTTTGAAAATCTAAAAATGCAGAAAGTTTCCTGTGAGGGGTAGGTTTAGGGGTAGGGTTGGTGTAGGGCAATAGAATATACGGTCTGTACAGTAGAAAAACCATTACGCCTATAGAGAGTCCCCACAAGGATAGCAAACCAGACGTGTGTGTGTGTGTGTGTGTGTGTGTGTGTGTGTACACGTTTTTGTGACAAATGAGGACATAAATTTGTATAATGACAAAGGTATGACATAGATATTACAAGGAGAAGGTGACTTTTCAGGACATTACCCCATGTCCCCACTTTTCAAAATGCTTATAAATCACACAGAATGGAGTGTATTGAAAATCTGAAATAGTACAAAGTCTCCTCAATTTGACAGGCAAAGTGATTCGTTTGTCCAGACGTCGAGACATGCCTATATTTAACAGCAGCCAGGTGTTCACATGCCTGAGGAAAATATTACATAAATAATATAGTAAATCAGAACATTTATTGAAGAAAAGAGAAAAGAAAATGAATGTGTTCTCTGCCCCTTTGGTCAACTTTTAAACTTGTAGCTTATTGAGAATCCGTGTATCATTCGATCATTCGTTTTTTTATTTAAAATTGAAAGCAGAAAAATTTGAAAACGGCTCCTTTTTCGTGTTTTTGTTTTTTTCCGAAAAACGAAAAACGAGAATTCAGCTTAAATTCTATTTACCCACAGAATTTATGAGAAATATAACTGCATACATGCTAAAGTACACCTTAATGCAATTTTATATTTAGTCTTGTCAGGTGCACGTACACTAGTGTGTTTTTATAAACTAAATGGATGACTGAGCAGTCTTCACCAACTTCACAAAAGCAAACAATATATAATAATGTAATAATAAGCAGTGTGAACTCCTCAGACTATCTCCTTCAGTTATTATGAATTACACATCATCAACAACAACAGGAAAAAGCTGGTATACAGGAAAAGTGTTTGTGTTCTGTTTCAGTAATCCATCAGCATCATAGCCTATCAAAAGCTATTCAAAACTTTTTCAGAACTCTTTCCCCAAAATATAAATAAACTATGTGCTGACATGACAGCTGTGAGGACAAACATGAAATTGGAGAAGGAAGTAAACGCAACCCTTGAAACATAGAGTCATTACGGTGGGCTGCTGCAGTCTGTACTGTCTCTGACTTTATAATAGGGTCGTTTTTATCCTATTGTACCATCTGTGAACTCTGCATTTCATCTCAGCCGGGTAATAGGCCTATGTGTTGTGACAGCACAATGAGCTGATCAGTAGACTCACTGCAATATGTCTCAATGTTTTAGTAATCCTCTGTGAAAAGCAAACAGTTTTAATGTCTATTCTTCTTCTTTTTAAAAAAGAAAAAAGAAAATAATGTTTCTAATCTGATGATTACAATGGGTATTAATTAATAAATTACTACAATTTTTGTAAAAGCATTACTTAAATACAAACAGTGCATAATAACCTTTTATTAGCGCATACAAGGATCAAAGGCATTTACAATAAACTTACAAAAAATGACTTCTTTACAGTGTATTTATCAGCTTTGAAGGTGCCTTTGAATGAACTCAAAAAGGTGACTCTCAGAAAAAAAAAAATTAAAAAAAAAAACTGTATCCCCAAATAAAGGCAATTTTTTACCCTGGCTTAATCCTTTTTTTATTTCACACCAGTCATTTTGAAAAGGAATGGGTTATTACTTTTCAATTTGCGAAATGGAGCCCAATACTGTGTGTCTGAAACAATGAGGTTCTAGAATGATACAACGAGTTGTTTAACAATAGATACATTTTAAACAAAATAATGCTTGAGAAAGATACAGATTAAATGTTGAACATTTTTTACAGCTCATTGCGCAGTTATATAGCTCACATGCTCATTGCAACACACACACACACACACACACACACACACAAAATAAAAGTTTATATGTAAACCTTATATTTAAACCTACATATATCACACACACACACACACACACACACACACACACACATAAAATAAAAGTTTATATGTAAACCCTATATTTAAACCTACATATGCCAAATATATTATGTGTATATATATATATATATATATACATATATTATTTTAGTTTAGGGCTTAAGGCCTACATTAGAGGATAAGACCTGTGAAAGAAAGCCAAACCACTGTGGTCAATGTTGAAATCTACGCTAATGCAGTGTTGATCATACGGATAGTGAATGCTTTATGATTTAATGCTCTCTATCTATATTGCCAAACTTTTACCGAGACAAAAATGTCCTTGTTCCTATAACTATAACCATAACAGTAATATTTAAGACTTAAAATATCCCACTTTCTATAACCATGAATTCACTGAACACACATCTAAACCGGGTTTAGGTTAATGCTTTGTCTGATATCTAATGCATTTGTCCACTGATATTATCTTCTCTGTCCTGAGTCTGTCAAATCATATTTACACGAAATGAATTATTTAAGAATCCATTATCTCTGCTACAGTTGCTAGATGTGCAGTGCTGAGTGCGATCTAACTACCAGGTGCTACCCTGAAAGCGATATAATTTGAAACTCAAGACAAGTCCCATCAGTGTGAACTGTAGAGAGTGAAGTCAGGGCGAGCTACAATTAAACTAAATTGATTTCCCTTCCTCAAGGAGGTGGTGCGATGGAATGGGAAGGCCATTAACATCACATTCAGAGGTTACAGTATGAGCAGGCTTCTCTAAATCGTCAGGCAGCTAGAAAGCAGTCACATCACAAGGACAGACTGAATGACATCTAAATCATCTGATCAGTGTGGTGTGGTATGTAAGGAAGGAACATTTTTCCTTATTCAGAAAATGGTACACAAAGAAAACATTTAAATGATGAATACTCCAGTCATAACAGTACCTTAATAAAACTGTTTAATTTTTCATGGAGGTCATGGTAGCTGCCATGTTAACATCCCTTGACCTGTCAAATACTCACTTCATCTAGCTAACTAAATAATAAATAATGGATGTATGTGAACAGAGAATTGTTATTATTTTTTATTTGTTTTGGGGGGTTTTTTACCATGGAAAATGTAATCCACCACTGAGAAAATAAAATAGCCACACTACCATTCAAAAGTTTGTACGATTTTTTTTTTCTTTTTTAAGAGATAAATACTTTTGCAAAGATGCATGAAACTGATCAAAAGTAACAGTAAATACTATTATAATATTTCAAAACATTTCTATTTTAAAAAAATGCTTTTCTTTTGAAGTTTCTATTCAATAAAGCATCCTATTTTTTTTTTTTTTTTTACAAAAATATTAAGTAGCACAATGGTTTAAACATTGATAATAAGAAATGAGCATATTACAATTACAGGATCATGTGACACTGAAGACTGGAGTAA